TGGGAGAGGCGGGACAGGGGCGGCGCTGTGGGACCATGGGGGCCGGCAGAGGCCAAGAGATCCCTCCCCCACAACACACACCTTGGGTGGCCCGGCCCTGGTAGGGCTGGGGCTGTGTGGGGCTCCCTTGGCACAGCTGGTCCCATCCCAGGGGCCCTCCCAAACCGGGGTGCTAGGGCAGCTTTCTCTCCTTCCAGGCCCGCGGCTGGGCTGGGGAGGGGTCGCTGCACATCTGCGTTTAACAGTGGCTGGGAGGGTCAGAGGACTGGTAGCCGGGCTGGGACAGCTGGGCGCGGGGGCAGGTGGAGGCTGGCCACAGTGAGGTGCGGGTGCAGAACAGAGACCTTGAGGACAGGAGCTGGCAGGTGAGGCATCGGAGTCTGGGGGTGCAGGAGGGGCTGGGCCCGGCCCTCCCAGGTCTCCCCTGGTCTCCATCCCAGCTCCAGAGGGTAGAGAGTGGTGTGGCTCAGTGGGCTCCTGCCTCTCAGCTGTTGGGCAGGGTGAGGAGACAGCCGCCTGTGGTGGGCAGGAATCGGGCTGGACCACCTCCGCTGGGAGGACGTGGGAAGACTGCCGACCTGGGGTCCCTAAGCTAGGGCTCTGCTGGTGATTGGGGTGCCAAGAGCGCCCAGCCTAGGGTGCCCCTGAGAAACAGGCTGGGGAGGCTGGTCTCTGGCGAGGCACTCATTCCTCCGGGGAACCCAAACGCCTGGCTGACCTGGCCCACTGGGTAGGTTCTGGCCACGGCTCTGCCCACCCCAAGTCCGTCTGACTGCCACACAGGCCATGAGAAGCCCAGCGGCAGTTGTGCCCCAGCACCACGGACAGCGCTTGGGTCTGCCTGCTTCCCTCCCTCTTCCTCCTCCCCTTGGGCATGGGCTCTTATCTGAAGGCAAGACTGGGGTGGGCTGCACAGGTTCTCTGCTCCCTGGCCCTGCCCTGCCCCCGCCGTGTGACCACCTGAGTGTCTTAGGCTGTGGAGACCCACAGCCACCAGCGTAGTCTTCCTGGAGAGGGCCAGGCTCTAGTCACAGTACCCAGACTGGTGACTCTGGAAGGGCAGCCAGGGGGTTCCTGTTCCCTCTGAGTTTCCCAGAACTCCTGGCAGGGCCTTTATTCTGGGGGTGCTCCTGGGGTATTCGAATGGACACATGATAGGTGAGCTCATTTTGACACCAATCCAGCTGCTTCGGGGGGCTCTGGACCCCAGGACTGAGGTCTGGCAGAGAGGGGTGCAGATGAGGTGTGCTGGGGGCTTCAGGTTCAGGGCCAGAGATGTGGATGCCTTTCTCAGCAGTCTTTGGACGTGGCTGGCAGTGCCATGGCTGAGAAGGGGGTAGTGGTGAGGGACAGGAGACTTGAGCTGGGGAGTCCCCGCTGGTCCTCAGGCTGGGAGGGAGACCACTGATTTCCCCTGGTGTCCTCCTGGGTAGGTGACTGCCCCCTCCGTGCCTTTTTTCTGGCTCTCCTGAGACCAGCCTGCACGGGGAGCCTCGGGTCCTGAGCCCCACCCAGGCCTGGTGGGATTCAGTGAGGAGGGCCCCCTGAGGGGAGGGAGAGGCCCTGGTATGTTGCCCTCGGACTTGCTTCTCCTGGGCAAGCACCCAGTTCTGCGCCTGCTTTTGGGTTCTAGCCCCTCCCACTTCATCTCTAACAGCTTCCCTTAAACATGGGCTGAGAATTTTGTTGTGCTTTTTATTTTCTTCTGCAATTATGTGTTTTCTTTAATGGACCAAATTTTAATTAAATACTGCTCTGCCAGTTTCAAATAATGAAGATTAAAATGCATAAAGCAAGTCTTGCAGAAAGATACAGGCGAGCCTGAGGCCCAGGGACAGTGTGCAAGTGGGAGGGCCCAGGCCTCCGGCATGACTCTCGGGGGTGTCTGTGGGGAGCCCAGCCCCACTCCTGGTGGGGCTCCTCACCCTGACCTGGGGGCTCCCTTTTCTACTCCACCAGTTCATAGCGTCCTCTGATAGATCTGAGGTCCTGGAACAGCCTCCACAGCTGGCCGCCCTGCAGGCCGTGTTCAGAACTCGGTTCTGTTCGGCCCTCGATCTAGTATTGAAATAGCAGGAGCGTAGGGCCATCTCGAGGGTGGTTCTATGCCTTGTCCCCTGCAGCTGCTCCAGCACCTGGCACCTGGAGGACAGTCACCAACTGTGCTGGAGGAGGGAACCAGAGCCGTGTTTTGGCCAGCCCTCCCCTCCGTGCACCAGCACGCACACCCATGTTGCACTCACGTGCAGGCGAAACCTTGTCCTGACCACTCAGTGGCACAGGTTGCCAACCGGTGTGTGCCTGCCTGGTGAGGGTGGTGATGGGAGAGCCTGGGCATAGGGGCCCATGTGCCCTGTCCGTGCATGCGAACGCTCTGTGGTGCTGGGGAGGCCTGTCTCCTCCAGGTCAGAGGATGCTGGGGCAGGGCCCGTGTGCCCAGGGCCTGGGTGGCCCTGGTGACTGATGGGCTTCAGGTGGGGCTCGTCTGAGCCGGTTACTTGCCCTCGGGCTGGCAGATGGCCGGGCGATTTCCGTCGAGACCACGGTCCTCACTTCAGCAGGCCACAGTCTTCAGGAGGGCTTGCTAAGGGAAGTTGCTTGCTCACCTCTCCCAGAGGCCTGAGTCAGGGCATGCTGGGGCCCCAGAACTGCTTTTCTTGACATCTCGGGTGATGCTGAGGCTGCTGGACTGGGGGCCGCACACAGGACCAGCACTGTCGATGAAGCGGGCTCTGTCGAGGCAGGACCGGCCAGCCTGGAGCTGACCACACCACGTCCTCATGGCGCGGACTGAGGCTCGTGGCTGTTCCTTGAAGTCGAGCCCCCTTCATCTGACGCTGCCGGGAGCCCTCCTGGGCCCAGGAGCTCAGCCCCTGCACTTCACCTCCCCTCGTGTCCTTCCTTCACTCATGCGTTCGTCCTGACGGCAATGAGTGCCCCGTCGGGAACTGCCCAGCACCCTGTCGCTCGCCTGCGGCCCTCACCCGCTTATTCCTCTCCACAGGCTTTTTGTCCTGGGCATTGGCTTCTTCACTCTCTGCTTCCTGATGACATCTTTGGGGGGCCAGTTCTCGGCCCGACGTCTGGGGGACTCGCCCTTCACCATCCGCACAGAAGGTATCTGGGAACGAGGGGTGTCAGAGATGGGCGTGGTGTTTCGGGGCTGAAGAGGAGGTGCCTTTGAGCCTAGCACTGGAAGGGACTTTCAGGGGCCTGTCCCAGCCTCCGGCCACCTCGTAGGTGGATGTGTGGGTGGATGAGGCCTCAGCTGGGACCGTGTGGCCGTGCATACGGTTTGGCTTTGGCCTTCGCCGCAGGCATCCAGCATCCTCTGGCCTGAACTCTCGGGCTCTTCCAGATACCAGAAGAGAATGTTGCTTCTTTTGCTGGGGTGTCAGGAGCTGGGGGATCTCTGGATATGACACTCGTCTCTCTGAGACACTCAGGTGCTGCGTCTGTCGCCACAGTGGGGGACAGCCACCATGGGCTCTGGTGGCTCATCTCTGACTTGGGGATGTAGAGGCCTCGTCCGAGTCCTGCTTACTCCCTGCACTCCTGAACTTGCAGGGTGCGGAGTGGAGGGTCAGAAAATAGACTCTGGGGACCAGATAGGCCTGGGTGGACATCCTGGCGCCCAGCTCCTGCAGGGTGCTGTTGGTGGTCACTTACCCTCAGAGGAGAGTAATGCCCGCCTGCAGAGTGGGATCAGGTGGCTCACACCTTTCCTGGCATGGTTGGTACCACCTCCTGGTGCCAGGGAGGTGTGAGCCTGGCAGACCAGAGCCTTCTCCTAAAGCCAGGCCCTGACACTGTAGGAAGAGCAGGGACGAGTAGAGTCCTGCCCCGTGTGTCGGGGGCTCCTTGTGGGAGGGAGGAACATGGGGTAGGGGGAAACGAGGCAGATGGGGTCTTGGCACTGTTTGGAGGGCTGCTCTGAGAGGTTTACCCACCCTCTGGGGCAGTCTGCTCATGGTCTGTCTGCCTTCTTGCTGTCTGGCTCGCCAGTTACCAGCCATGACTCGTGGACGTCCCGGGTGGAGGAGGCTGGCGCGGAGGTCGGTGCTCTGAGGGCCTCGTGGTGCCGTCTGCTCACTCGGCCTTGACTCATCCCTGTGGTTTAACGTGCTCGTCTTTGTCCTTGCACCGGCTCCCAGAGGAATGTCACACTTACGGTCATTCAAACCCTAGTGTGAGTTAATTCATCCCATCTCTGGCTCCCCAAGGTGCCTGTCTCTGAGGTCCTGGGTTCTCCTCTGGTGAATGGGGCTAGTGCCCGCTCCCCAGCCTTGTCGTGAGGATGCACGATGACAACACGGAGGTCCTGGGTGGCATCTGGCAAATACGAGGGCTTCCTAAATATTTCATGGCTGTGCCGAGTCTGAAATGAGGGCACTGCAGAAAGGGTGTTGAGGGAAGAGGGCCAGGGAGGTGCAGGAGATGCTGGAGGCTGGAGGTGGGAAGGGAGTGGAAGCGTGTGCGGGGGAGGCAAGGGAGCTGGCTCCTGGGGAGGTGGGTGAGGGGACGCTTGGGACGCTTAAGCCACCTGGGTGCCTCCCTAGGCAGGGTGTGCCTGTCTGGGTGAGCCACTGCCGAGAGCTTCAGGGAGCTGGCCAGGGGTCTGAGAGATGGGGACCAGAGGCTGGGGAGGAGGGATCTGTGGCACTGTTCTGCTATTCCTGCCCATCTCCCTAGGGGCTGGAGGGGCGAGGCAGCTCTCCCGCCCATGGCACCGCCTCATTCTGGCAGGGGTAGGCCCAGTGGCCTGTGGCACCAGGGGGTTGTGGGAGCCCTGCCTATGTGCGGTTTTGCCGGGCAGTGGGGGCGGGAGGCCAGCCCAGCCCCGACCCTGTTCCATAGAGGAGAGAGGACTTGCCTGAGCCTTGCACTTAACCAGGGCGTGTGTGTACACATGTGTGCTTAGACTTTTTATTGAGGCGTACTCTACAGAGTGAACGCACCCGTGCAACCAGCAGCCCAGATCAAGAAGCAGAACATGCCCAGTCCCCAGAGGTGTCCTCGTTCATGCCACCCCCCAGACCTCCTCCGCAAGGACTCAGGACCCTGCCTCTAACAGCCCGGAGGAGCTTCCCTGCCCCACCCACTGTGAGAGCGGGGCGGCGTGGCACGTGTTTCTTGCGTGTGTTTCCTTTCTCTCGGCCGTGTCTTTGTGAGGTCCCCCTTGCTGCATGTGGTTGTGGTCACGTGTCCCTGAGGTTGTGTGGTCTTGCACCGTATACTTACCCATCCTACCTTGGGCCATCTGGTCGTTCCCAGTTGGGGGCCCTCCTGAGAGTGCTGCTGTGAACGCAAGCATGAGCCCTTCCTTGGTGGACGCAGGCTGGCATTTCTGTCTAGCGGACCTGCAGATGCGGGTTGGCATCTCTGTCAGGCACACCCGCGGACGAGGGTCGGCATCTCCGTCGGGCGCACCTGGCACCGGAGGCCCCTGTGCATTGGGATGTTAGTTCTCAGACCGAGTTCATCCACGTGTAACTCTTTCCATGTTTCCTGGGCCCCTGGTCGGGAAGTACAACGTCTGCAAAGCTGAAAAGTCTGGGAGGAGGAGAGGGACAGGAGAGGGGCCTCCGGAGGCCCAGGCGAAGGGACTTGGATTCCATTTCTATTCGGTTCTCATCACCCCCCTGATTTCTTTCATGCCCTGGGATCCAGCTGGTTGCTAGAAGAGACCCAGGGCAGGGATGCAGACCTGGGGAGCAGTTTGCACGATAAGCCCCTCAGTTATCCCCCCTGGTCTGGGGCAGCCTGCAGAAACCTGGGGGCGCATGGGCCAGGGAAGGGCTGAGGCTGGCACGAGGTGGTCGGCAAGTTGCTTGGCTCAACCGTGGAGGTTGGCTGTTGGGCGATGTGTGGTTTCTGGGGTCTGACAGCCCCAGAGCAGGTTCAGGAGAGGGAGCCGTGAAGGCCCTGCCATTTGGGAAAGGAAAGGAACTCTCATGGTAGTCAACCAAACAGTGTGAGCGCAGAGGGAGAAAATCCTCACCCGAGGGGTACTCACTGGGCTGGGCTCTCAGGCACAGCCTCCTGCAGGAAGGGCCTGGGAGGGGAAGGGTCTCTGGGGACTGTCTCCCTGCAGAGGCTCCAAACCTCCTCTGTGTCAGTCTGTAGTCCGTGACAAAGCCCGCTCGTTTGGGGTGAACATGTGGCCAGAATCTCTCACTCTATGTTCTGCGCCCTCGTCTTAAAGATTCAGGAAAGGAGGCTGAACTGGGAATGAAGCTTGGATGAGTCTAGCGTCATTCCCTCTGGTTGCAGGGGCCTGCAGGGGCGTGGGGAGGGTCTTCTGGCAGCTCCTCCTCCCCGTCCCACCCAGGGCCTGGGGAGGACCTGGACAGGGATGTGACTTTGGCTCTGTGGAAGGCTTTGGCCCTGGACAGGCTATGGAACCCCAGGGCCTGTCCTCCACTGTCCAGAGCCCGAGCTCCGACAAGCCCTGCTGGTGTGCTCGGTGACCGAGTACAGAAATGTGCCCCACTCTCCAGCTGCGCAGGCGTGGGTCATCATCCCTTCTCAAGTGCCGAGGAGGTCCCTGTCATCTGGCGGAATGAGAGTCTATTCAGTTTCCAGGAGCCAGAGGTAAAGGGTGGCGGTGGGGACAGAGAGACAGAGAGAGCGTCTGGGGAGGGCCTGGGCCTGACGGGTAATAAAAACACCCCTGTCTATAAACGTGAGGACCCATCCGTATCTCTCAGCTCCCAGCTTTCCTCATTTATATGGAAATACGGAGGGAACCAGTGTTAGCTCTGAGATGGATCGCTGGGGCCGCACATTAAATACACTTCAATTTACCCAACGCCAGAAGTGGTGAAGGGACTGGAAGTGATGTCAGCTTGCTCTGACAGTCCTAGGCAGTGGTGGCAACCCAGGGGGCCCCTCAGTGCAGGAGGGCCGGCTGGCCTGGCCTGCCTTCCCCCAGCAGCCCTGCCCACCTTGCCTTTGGGTGTCTGCAGGGCAGCAATGTGCTTGGGCCTCTGGAGCTCCTGAGGTGGGTGGGGGCCACCTCCCAGGTCCCAGGGGCTTCTGGGGTTCTGCAGAAGGTGGGAGTAGCTCCTGATCTGGTGTGGGGAGGGTCTTGCTGTCTTGGTTCAGTCCAATGGGGAAACGGTTTAAAGAACCACCCACAAGGGGTCTGTCTCCTTGGCTGTGGCGATGGTGAACCTGGCAGCTGTCACTGTGTGTCCCATGTCCTCCAGTTTTTTGAGGTCACACCTTCTGTCAACATGATTTTAAAGTTACTTATTTATTTCTTCCACCAGTGAGGGTGAGGGAGCGAGAGTGAGAGGGCGAGAGAGAGAGAGAGTGAGAGGGCAAGAGAGAGAGCAAGAGAGAGAGCGAGCGAGTAAGAGAGTGAGTGAGAGAGAGCGCGAGCAAGCAAGAGAGCAAGTGAGTGAGCGAGAGAGCGAGCGAACGAGAGAGTGAGAGGGCAAGAGAGAGAGCAAGAGAGAGAGCGAGCGAGTAAGAGAGTGAGTGAGAGAGAGCGCGAGCAAGCGAGAGAGCAAGTGAGTGAGCGAGGGAGTGAGAGGGCAAGAGAGAAAGAGAGAGAGTGAGCAAGAGAGTGAGCAGGTGAGAGAGAGAGGGCGAGAGAGAGAGTGAGCGGGCAAGAGAGAGAGAGCGAGAGAGAGAGAGCGAGCGGGTGAGAGAGCGAGAGAGCGAGCAAGCGAGAGCACAAGGGAGAGTGGAGCACCCGTGTCGGGGTCTCCATGCTGCCGTGCACCCCAGCTTCACCCAGCCAGGACCCTGGATCCAGGGTACACGTGTGTCCCGCGTGCTCAGAGAGGCCTCCGGGAAGAACCCAAGCCTTCCATGTGGGTCAGCCTTGCAGAGCGTGGCGCCTTACTGCTGTGCCGCCTTCTGGACCCGGTGACATTTCTTAGGAGTCGAGCCCCTCCTGCCAAGAACAGGCCAGACCGTCCGCAGGTCTGCAGATTCCCAGGGGGAGGGGTGTGCTTATGTCCTGCATCACTTCTTTCTGACTTCTTGCTTCTGCCCAGGGATCCGTCCCCCTGCCTCCTCTGTCTCCTGGACGGTAACCGGGTGGGAAGCACTCCATTCCTTTTCAGCCTCTGCCCAAAGCCCTTAACGCCAAGCCGTGGGCATAGCCACCTGCCGGAGCTGGGGTCTCCACTGTCCCACACAGCAGGTGTTCCCGTTCCCTATCACATCCTTCCTTTAAGAGCCCTGACCATTCCTGCACCCTCTCATCCCCTCCTCTCGGCCCCTCTGCCTGCCCCACCTCCCTGTCCCTACCCTTCGTCCTCGCCCTCTCCCCCTCTCCCCCTCTCCCAGGCAGTTCCAGGACCTCCAGCCTCCCTGCTTGAACTCGCAGTCATTTAGCTTCCCTTTCGTCTGTTCTGGGCATCCAGCTGGTACTGGCCCTCCCCGGCATTTAGCAGAGCAAAGCAGAGCTCTCCCTAGGACGGACTCTCCTTCCGCCCGCCCCAGCCTCTCAAGGCAATTAGGGAAGACACAGAAATGGGAGAGAAGGGTGTTAGGCCCTCTGAGTTCAGTGCGACCAGCATCCTCGTACATGGGTGGAAACAGAGGTCGAAAGGAGTCAAAGGTCTGGAGTCCAGGCCCCCCGACTTCCATTCTGGGCTGCCCTGGGTCAGCAGCCCCTGCTCTGCTCTGGGGGCTCCAGGGCCCTGAGCGCTGGGCCAGATCTTATAGTTAATTGATCCCGTCGGCTTTTATTTTTTTTAGAGAGAGAGATTTTTGCCATAGGGTGCGAGTGTTTGCTGTAGAGTCAGAGAGAGACCAAGAGATAGAAAGTGAGAAATCACTCCTGTGGGGGGATGGCCACACAACAATCCTTTCTCCTCAGTCTCCCCTTGGAATTTTGGGCATGCATGCACGTGCGTCTGGCGTGAGTTTCAAGCCGCCAGGTCCAGGGCTCAAACCACGGTCAGCCATGTGGGAGTCGAGCCGTCATAACCACTGTGCCAGCTGCTGGCCCTTCCGTTGGCTATTTTGCAGCCTGGGAAGTGGAGCTGGGAGTGTGTGGTGCGGGGATTGCTATGGCGAGGTCTGGGGAGGAAGCTGGGGGTGGGCTGGGTGAGAGGGGCCAATGGAATGGCCCAGAGGTATCCAGGGGACACAGCGCCACCCCCGAAGCCCTGCTGTGGCTCCGTGTGGCTGGGATGCAGTCCCTGTGGGGCCGACTGCTGACCAGCTCTGTCAACCAGCTCCATCGCTCTGGCCAGGGCCGGGTTAACAGGCCCTGATTCTAGGGTGGTCCCCCCATGACCGTGCGTTCCTTTTCCATCCCTCTCCACTGGGGAGGGGGCACCTGTGACCTCGTTCTGCGGGATGGCCCCCAAGGCTGCTCGGCGAGGCCAGGCAGGCTGTGCGGGACACAGGGCCAGCGTGCCCCAGCAGCCATGGGATGGCAGCGCCCCTGGAGCTGCACTGACTGCTCTTGCCTTGAGCTGGAGACGCTGAGGCCAAGGTGGGGGATGACTCCCCACGGTCACACGGGATGGAGGCGGGCTGTGGTAGAGGCTCCTCAGACCTGAGCCTGCTGGGTGTTCTGGCTCCTCCTGGCCCGAGCAGGAGGTGCTCTGAGTGCTGGCCCCGGGCCCTCACCAGGGCCACTTCAGTTGCAGTACCTGTGCTGCTTTGCCTGAGGGCCTCCTTGAGCCGCCTCAAGGCAGGCAGAAAGTGCCAGAGCAGGACTGTCCCCAGGAGCAGCCCTCACCCTGGTGGCCAGCTCTCTTGTCCCCTAGGTGGGGGAACTTAGAGGTGGGCCCTCACTCTCTGGCTCGCTCATCAGGGCTGAGCTCGAGGTGCCCAGGATGGCTGCCTCCCTTCCCTACTGGGATTTCTTCATCTCCCAAATAAGCTGCCCACCCTCAGACCCTGTGTCTGTCTGCTCTGCTGCCCCCCACGCCAGCCTGGCAGCCTGGGCGGTGCAGGAGGCCGGGTCTGTGCGTGTGTCCGTGCGTTGTGGCCGCCTCATTTGTTACGAGTGATTTAGCGCCCGGCCCCCGGGGTTCGCAAGGAGCTGAGTTGGGATTTCAGTGCCTGGAGCTGAGCACCTTATGGACTGTTCGGAGGGGCTGCTGAAACCTTCAGATTTAATTAGAAAGAAGGCGAGGACTGCTCTGGCACACAGGCACGCACGGCGCTAATGATCGGGAATGATTGGAAAGGAAATTGGGAAGATCTCAGGCCGGCTGATGGCTTGTGGTTGAGGCACCTCGTTTTCATTTCATTTGGTTCTTTGCAAGGTCTCCCCCACCCAGGCTGGCAGCAGAGGGGATGCCGCCTTAACCTACAGGGCCCTGCCCTTGTCGATTGATCTTTGGGAATCCACGGCCCAGCGTGAGACGCAGGACAGACTCACGATGGCTTTCTCCAGTGGGGGCCTGGGGCAGCGGGATGGGGGGAGGGGAAGCAGGGCCCCTGGCCCGTGGAACACAGGCTCCCAGCCTCCCTGTGCACCAGACTGTCCCAGGGAGCAGGCCGAGTGCAGATTCCCGGGCCCCATGCCCTAGAGACGTGGACGGGCAAGTGGAGACCTGGGCCAGCGCGGTCAGGGGCCTCGGGCGGTGGGTGACTGACCTCACTTCGAGAAACCCTGACCAGCAAGTTCTGTCTGGAGCTTGGTGAGGGGCCTAGGGGCTCCCGCCTTCCTTAGCACCTCAGATCTGAGGGTCGCGGGGGCCCAGGGCTCTCAGAGGTGGCATACAGAGCCCCACTTTACAGTCGACAGGTCCGAGGCCCAGGGAGGTGAAAAGGTGCCCTGGTGCCGCACAGCTGGTGGAGGGCAGGATTGGCCCAGTGTCCCCTATTGGTACCCAGGCACCGTGGCAGGAGGGCTCCTGCCCTGCAGGGCGATGGGTGCTCGCTCTCGGGCAGTGGCCAGGGAGTGCCTGGGAGATGGGAGTGGGGCTGGGGGCTGGGCGGCCCCAGGTGGCCTTGGGCTGCCTGGGCTTCCCCTGACTTTGCTGCGACTCTGCCCACAGTGATGGGTGGCCCCGAGTCCCGCGGCGTCCTCCGCAAGATGAGTGACCTGCTGGAGCTGATGGCAAAGCGTGTGGATGCACTGGCCAGGCTAGAGAACAGCAGTGAGCCGCACCGGGTCGCCATGGACAGGTGAGGTGTGGGGCGCAGGGCCGTGGGGGTGTGTGGATGGGTGAGGCGTGGGGCGCAGGGCCGTGGGGGTGTGTGGACGGGCGAGGTGTGGGGTGCAGGGCCGTGGGGGTGTGTGCCTAGTGTGCTTGGCCTGGTGTTCTGGTGTTTGTCCCCTGTTTTTGCTCACTGGGAGAAAACTTGAAGAAAACAGAATGGTGGGAACCAGCAGTTAGCGTAATGGCTATGTCGCTGGGCTCCCACGTAGTCGACCGCGGTTCGCATCCCAGACCCGGTGGCTTAAAACTCACGCCGGGCACGTGTGCGTGCGTGCCCAGGATCCCGAGAGGAGAATGGAGGAGAAGGGATTGCGGCGTGACCATCCCCCCTGGGGGGTGATTTCTCGCTTTCTGTCTCTATGTCTCTCTCTGTCTGTTTGGCGAGCGCACGTGCCCTATAGCGAAAAAGCCTCTCAAAAAAAAAAAAAAAAACAGAATGGTGCAAATAATCAGACTGAGGGCCCCTTTCTACTGGCCGGGTCTAACAACCATGAGCATTTAGAAGTCACATTTGTGATCATCTTTCTTTTTTCATTTTAAAATAAAATATCACAGATGAAAACTGAGGGGCCTTTTAACTGCTCCCTGGAGACAAATGCCTTCCTGAATTCGGTGTGAGTTCTAGTCCATTCTAAATCCTTTTAAAAAGTGTATTGATTTCTTTCCTGAGAGTGAGACAGAGGCAGGCCCTCCCAGCAGGGTCTTAGGCATTTGTGATCATCTTTCTTTTTTCATTTTAAAATAAAATATCACAGATGAAAACTGAGGGGCCTTTTAACTGCTCCCTGGAGACAAATGCCTTCCTGAATTCGGTGTGAGTTCTAGTCCATTCTAAATCCTTTTAAAAAGTGTATTGATTTCTTTCCTGAGAGTGAGACAGAGGCAGGCCCTCCCAGCAGGGTCTTAGGCTGCACCCCCCCGCCCCCGCCTCCACTGGCCAAGGTCGTGGGCTCATGGGCCCAGTGTGCTGGGGAAGACCTGGGACGAGAATCCAGGACGTTCCCAGGGGAGTCCAGTCCCATTACTGCTGTGCTTCTGCCTGGCCCCTGCTCAAGGTATTTTGACACGTTTTACACGCACGTTATAAATGCCTGGTGTGTGGTTTAACGTCTTTACTAAGTGGCATCTCACAGCCACATTCCGCGGCTGTCATTCCACCGGACATGACCGTTCTTAGCTCTGTCTGTGCTGAGGGCGCATGTGGACACCTGCAGACCTGGGCCATTTCTGTCAAGTAGAATTCCTGGCTCGGGACTAGCAGTTAGCGTAATGGCTACGTCGCTGAATTCCCATGTAGTTGACTGCAGTTTGAGTCCTGGACCCGTTGGCTTACTTGGGAAAGTTAGCTTTAAAATCACTGGGACCAGCAGTTGGCATAATGGCTATGTTGCTGAACTCTCATGTAGCTGACCATGGTTCATGTCCTGGACCCGGTAGCTTAAACTCATGCTGGGCACATGTGCGTGCATGTGTGCCAAGATCCTGAGAGGAGAATGGAGGAGAAGGGATTGTGGTGTGGCCATCCCTCCTGGGGGGTGATTTCTCACTTTCTGTCTGTCTTTCTGGTAAGCGCATATGCTATATAGCAAAAAAACAAAAACAAAACAAAACCTCTCCAAAAAAAAAAAAAGAAAAGAGAATTTTCTGGCTTACTCATTCTAGATATTCCCCTACTCAGGCCAGGATGCCCCTGAGCCCCGGAGGCCATCCTGCGTACCACAATGGCCTCTTCAGGAGCTCGGGTGGAATGGAACCCACACTGCAGAATCTCCTGGACCCCGGAGAACGGGTGCCTGGAGCTGGGGCCGTCCCCACCGACTGGGCAGTTGTGGCCCCAGGCATGGCTGTGCTGGGGGCTTGGACCCCTCATCTCCCATGCTCCCTCTTTTGTGTAGCAAGTGCGTTATGAGGTTGGTTTGCTTGGTGTGTTCTAGCCGCTAAAGAAAGTCTGAAAGGTCGTCCAGACACTTTGTGGAGAAGCCGCGGCTCGGCACGTGTGCTGTGGAGCCAAGGCTCTGGGGGTTTCCAAGGTCAGAGCTGGGCAAAATCGGAGACACCAAAGGCACGCCATTCAGGTCACCATGGAGCCTGCGCCAGCCTGGGGAGGGAGGGGCATGTAGAAGGGACCCCCTCCAACTCGGCCTGGCTCATGGGGTACCCCTCTTACTGGGGTGGGTCCTTGGCCCTTAGTCTGCCTGTACTGGGCTGCTGGCTGTCAGGACAGCTCTCCTTGGCCTTGCCAACTGGGCAAATGTCCTGGACGCTCGCTTGGGCTGCCTGGAATCGGCATCATTCTCACAACAGGTGACATTTTCTGGACGTGCACGAAACCCGGCATCACTCTGTTAGCTCCGTGATCTTGCTGGATGGTTTAACCTCCACAGAGGGGAAGCCAAGGCACAGAGGTTCAGGAGCTCGTCAAAGGCGCACAGCCAGACGGGGCTGGACCGGGCTCCAGGCCAGGCGGGCTGTCCTCACGGCCCTCATTTCTAACCTCTGCCCCTGTTGGCGGTTCATAAACACGAGGCTACGTGCGGGCTAGTTTTTATCCCTTTGTGAGACTTTTCATATTAATTAATTCACAACTCAGGAAACAAATCCTTTGTTAGACCTTGTGCTCTGAGTTTTTAAAAAGAATTATTTATTTAAATTTATTTATTACTGTTATTTTCATTATTTAGTTTGACCAGGCAGAGAGAGAGAAGGAAAGTGAGAAAGCAAGCCACCAGGTCTGAGACTTGAACCATGGTCAGCCATGTGGGAGTGTCCAGTGCCTCACCCACCACACCACCTGCCAGCCCCATGCTCTGATTTCTTTTTTGTTCAGAAAATGTACACTTGGAAACGGCAGTCCTGGAACCTGGGACTGAACCCAAGATGAATGTGAAGTGGCTGCTGCAGGCCACGGGAGGTCTCAGCCCACAGGAAGTGGTGCCTCCTCAGTGGCTGCACAGCCTTGAGCTGAATCCCTGCTGAGATGCTCCCGCCCCCGTAGACTTAGCACCTAAGAGGATAGCGAGGGAGGGCTGCTCACGCAGTGTGCACTGGGGCCGCCGAGGAGCACAGGTGAGCGTGGCCAAGCGCTGCCCTCGTCCCCGTGGGAGGCAGGCAGTCACGGAGAGAAAGGAAGAAACGAGATCATTTCAGCAGCCGTGAGGTGCTCCAGGGATCTGAGAGGGATACTAGGCAGGGACTGCCCAGAAAGGGTGAGTGTGCAGGCCCCGCCGAGTCCGTGATGTGGGGCCCGGTTCCGGTGATGCGAGGAGCCGCAGGAGGAACTGCGAGTAGAGGTGGGGGGAGTGAGAGCAGCAAGTGCAAGGCCCTGGGTTGGAGCGAGCTGGGCATGTTGGCAGGGAGGAGCCGGCGGGCAGGCCAGGATGTGGCAGAGTGCAGTGAGGCCAGGAGAGGTCGGCAGGGCCAGGACACGCCGGGCTTTTCCGTCATGGAGCACTATCTATCATAGGAGCCCCGGGCGGCCACTGGGAGGCTTCCAAGCAGGTGTGACTTTTTAAAAAAAGATCATTCTGGGGGCCGGTAGATGGTGTAGCGGTATGGTGTTGGACTCTCACATGGCCGACCAAGGTCCAAGGCCCGGACCCGGTGGCCTGAAACCCACACCAGGCACGTGAGTGTGTGTGCCCAAGATCCCAAGAGGAGAATGGAGAAGGGATTGAGGCCATCCTCCCCCAGGGGGTGCCTTCTCACTTTCCCTCCCACTGTCTCTGTTTCTTTCCCTCTCTGGCAAGCATACATGCTCTAAGGCAAAAACCTCTTTTAAAAAAATCACTCTGACTGCTGTGTGGGGAGGGTTAGCCGGTGAGAAGAGGGTAGTAGAGGTTTCTAGTTGAGGTGGGTCGGGGCTTCCCTGGAATGCCCTCTGGGGGGTGAGGACACTTTCCTCTCTGAGTGTCCAGATCAGTCTCTTCTGAAGCTCCTTGTGTCCTGTGGCCCTAACCCCCGCCCTGTCTCACCTGTGGCCCCCTCCTCCCTCTGCCACGGCCCCTGCCCCCATCTCCTCCTTTCAGCCCTCCTGTCTGCCCCCAGCTGTGCTGCAGACCAGGGCTCTGTCCACAGGTCTGTGGGCCAGGGTGGGGCAGACCCAGCTGGCCCCTGCCGCGTCCTGCTGGGACAGCAGAGCTCAGGGCCATAGATCTGGCCTTCTTGAGCTGGGTCCTACTGCCAGCACATTTGGTGTCTCCCTGGTTTCTTCTGGCCCTGGCTGTCCCTGCCTTGCCCTCCCTCTCTTCCAGGGGAAGAGGAGGGTGGGGAGCGCCGGCCACCTCTCAGCGCCCGCCAGGCAGTAACATCCATCATGCCCGCAGAGCCCATCAAACCCCAGGGCGGAGCCGTAAATCTCAGGGAAACTGTTGACTGGTTTCAGGAAGAGAAAGGGTGGGTGTGGCCAGGGCTTGCCTCCTCCCATGTGCTTACTACCGCATACTGCCGCCTGTGGCCAGCCACCTCTCGGCTCCCTGAGCTGGGATCCCCTCTTTAAAATGTCTGTGGCTAAATAGAACCTCCGCTGTCCTCCTCCTGCATTCTGGAAGCTTCTGGGCCACCACCTTCTACTCGTGGCTGATGTGTCTTGGGAAAAAGCAAATTTGCCTTTTTAGCCTAGGAAAACCTAATTAGAGAGGCAGATTTGCTGCAGATGGCACCGTATTATGCACCCTGAAACCAAATAGTGATGCTCGCTGAATTCCCCAGGCGGCCTCTCCGCAGTGGTGAAACCGCCGGACATCTGAGCTGTCTGTCTTCAGGTCAGTTTGTTTTGTTGAGTGCCTACTATGTGCAGGGTCTGCTGGAGATGTGAGAGTATGTGCAGGGACACAGGTGACAGGGTTAGAGCTCTGTCCTTGAGTTTATGGCCACGTGCGGGAAGCGGCCTCTCCGCAGTGGTGAAACCGCCGGACATCTGAGCTGTCTGTCTTCAGGTCAGTTTGTTTTGTTGAGTGCCTACTATGT